ATTCAGTTTTTGCTTCAAATTTCGAAATTATACAGTCTAATTTAGATTAAAAACTACTCATGCTGCATCTTTGTTTGGATCATGATTAAAATCCAGTGGTTGCCTCTAATTTTAAACGGAAAGAGCACAGACAACGCCTTAGCTTGTTCATATTAAGAGATTTCTTTTATTTGCATAACTCATTTGATTTGGGGTTTGTTTTAAAATTTCAATTTAGTTTTGTTATAATTCAATTTCACAAAGAAACGTGCAGCAATGGCCTAATAAAACGACACCTTTTCATTTACTGTATAATGTCTTAAATCTAATTTTGTTAAAAAAAATTGAGAAAATCAAATTGTGAAATCAAAATCGTGAATCAAATCGAATCGTGAGTTGAGTGAATCGTTGCATCCCTAGTGACGAGTGCTATTTGTGTGACACACAGAGTTGCTACCTACGAAGAGCATTTCAGATTGACCGCTTAGGAAGTTCTATGATGATTAGGAAAGCTATCTATCTAGACAATAGACTGCAAGGCAGCTCACTGGGTTTTTAGGACGAAGCTACTATCTAAAGGGTTTCCTGCAGCTCTGTAAGTTCACAACTATGCCCGTGTGGGGTCTGTCCTGCCTTTTCACATTTTCTGCTCTGTTGTGTGTTGGGTAGTGATGTGTATGAATGGAGCAGTTACTACACTTTTACTGGTAGATAAAGTAGTATTAGTTTAGACAAAATATTTAAAAAAGAAACGTACAGTACAGAATTTATTGTATGATCGATCATCTAAATCTGCAGTGTTCTGTGGGTGTATATTTCTTGAAAACCCACCTCAAACCTTGTATTTCATTGTTGCACCTGTGATTAAGGTCCAGTGCGGTCTGGCTACTGGCTTTGTTTTGATGTGTTTAAGTTTAGTGTTATGATCATACCATTTCAGTAAAATACAACCCGATTTCAGTGAGTAAGATTTCAGGTTAGGTTCCTGCCATAGAAGAGGCGATAAAAGCATATGAGATGCATACTTGTAATACTTGTGTATTAAAATGCACATGAAATGAAATCTAGATGGCCAGTGAGTAACACTGCGTATCAGCCATGCTGAAGTCTGAGGGAAACAAATTACAGTTGAAATTCAAGCAACATTGGAAATTATATTTGACATTTTGCCTTTCCTAGTTGTGCAAGCACAATCTATGGCAATGTATAATAATGAGCGGGTGCTGACTGAGGTAATTTTGATCACTATAGGAAACCCTGTGCATTGCATGCGTTGCCGTTTTTCAGTGCTGAATGCTGTTTGCCAAAGTTGTGAATATTACATGATTGAATGGTTTGTATGTTGTCTCAGATAATTTCAGAAGTTCATTTAATCTGTGTCTTTGTGTGTTGTGTGACAAGTTTGTCTGTATTTATGGATGAGCTTCTGTTTTGTGAGGGCCGTTGTCTTAACATGTGTTGTGTGTGCAGGTGGGACTTTCAAGTGATGCACAGGAGCAGATTTATGTTTACGCAATGCAACGCAACGCGTAAAATGACAGTATAAGTCATTATAATCAGTTATTATGTCCCCACTGGATGCAACAAATGCCTTGTTTGTAATGGGTTTTAATGTTTATGCCTCGTCGCTCCGGCTGGACACGGCATCAGCAGTATGTGAGGGGCGTAACATTTCCGTCTCATGCTTGAGGTATTCGGCCAATCACAATGCACTGGATAGCTGGCCAATCAGAGCACACCTCGCTTTTTCAGACCGATGAGCTTTGTAAAAATCGACGCGTTTCAAAAAGGCGGGGCATAGAGGAGAAACAATAATGTACAGTATGTGGAAAATAATGTGTTTTTTTTACTTTAAACCGCATAAACACATTTCATTACACCAAATACACAAAATAATGTTCTTTTTAGCAGCATCATATGACCCCTTTAAATCTCATTTTATTAAAAAAAATTGAGAAAATCAAATTGTGAAATCAAAATCGTGAATCAAATCGAATCGTGAGTTGAGTGAATCATTGCATCCCTAGTGACGAGTGCTATTTGTGTGACACACAGAGTTGCTACCTACGAAGAGCATTTCAGATTGACCGCTTAGGAAGTTCTATGATGATTAGGAAAGCTATCTATCTAGACAATAGACTGCAAGGCAGCTCACTGGGTTTTTAGGACGAAGCTACTATCTAAAGGGTTTCCTGCAGCTCTGTAAGTTCACAACTATGCCCGTGTGGGGTCTGTCCTGCCTTTTCACATTTTCTGCGCTGATTGTTGTGTGTTGGGTAGTGATGTGTATGAATGGAGCAGTTACTACACTTACTGGTAGATAAAGTAGTATTAGTTTAGACAAAATATTTAAAAAAGAAACGTACAGTACAGAATTTATTGTATGATAGATCATCTAAATCTGCAGTGTTCTGTGGGTGTATATTTCTTGAAAACCCACCTCAAACCTTGTATTTCATTGTTGCACCTGTGATTAAGGTCCAGTGCGGTCTGGCTACTGGCTTTGTTTTGATGTGTTTAAGTTTAGTGTTATGATCATACCATTTCAGTAAAATACAACCCGATTTCAGTGAGTAAGATTTCAGGTTAGGTTCCTGCCATAGAAGAGGCGATAAAAGCATATGAGATGCATACTTGTAATACTTGTGTATTAAAATGCACATGAAATGAAATCTAGATGGCCAGTGAGTAACACTGCGTATCAGCCATGCTGAAGTCTGAGGGAAACAAATTACAGTTGAAATTCAAGCAACATTGGAAATTATATTTGACATTTTGCCTTTCCTAGTTGTGCAAGCACAATCTATGGCAATGTATAATAATGAGCGGGTGCTGACTGAGGTAATTTTGATCACTATAGGAAACCCTGTGCATTGCATGCGTTGCCGTTTTTCAGTGCTGAATGCTGTTTGCCAAAGTTGTGAATATTACATGATTGAATGGTTTGTATGTTGTCTCAGATAATTTCATAAGTTCATTTAATCTGTGTCTTTGTGTGTTGTGTGACAAGTTTGTCTGTATTTATGGATGAGCTTCTGTTTTGTGAGGGCCGTTGTCTTAACATGTGTTGTGTGTGCAGGTGGGACTTTCAAGTGATGCACAGGAGCAGATGCGCATGATGCTGTGCCAGAAAGAATCCAACTACATCCGCCTAAAGCGTGCCAAAATGGACAAATCCATGTTTGAAAAGATCAAGACTTTGGGAATCGGGGCGTTTGGAGAAGTGTGTTTGGCTCGGAAAGTGGACACGGGAGCACTGTATGCCATGAAGACCCTCCGTAAAAAAGATGTACTGTTGCGGAACCAGGTGGCCCATGTGAAAGCTGAGCGGGATATTCTCGCTGAAGCTGATAATGAGTGGGTTGTAAGGTTGTACTACTCATTTCAGGATAAAGATAACTTGTATTTTGTCATGGACTACATCCCTGGTGGGGACATGATGAGTCTTTTGATCAGAATGGGCATTTTCCAAGAGGACTTGGCTCAATTTTACATCGCCGAGCTCACCTGTGCTGTGGAAAGTGTCCACAAAATGGGTTTTATCCATCGAGACATCAAACCTGACAACATCCTAATTGATCGTGATGGACACATTAAACTGACAGACTTTGGCCTGTGCACTGGCTTCCGATGGACTCACGACTCCAAATACTACCAAAGTGGTGAGCCTAACAGCTCAAAGACCATTGCACATTTTTGATAAATTGACCCCATTATTTTGTGCTATTATAGCTACTTTATAAAATCATGCCAGTAGTTAACGCAGTATGTCAATGCATTACACACATTAATATTAATATGTTTATTACATTAATGTTATGAAGTTTACAAATAAATTACAATAGCAAAAAATGAAAGATTTTAAAAAAGAAGCGTCACCATTGGAATACTCTATGTCCTGGTTAAAAAGCTTCTTTAAAAGTGAGTTCTGGTGGGGAAAAATCACATTCAGGTCTGACTCCATTCTGACGAAATGGTCACTTTTCGTGTTAATATTTATGGATCCTGAATATATTGTTGAATGAAACATTGGAGAATTGATAAAGGGCTTTGGTTCCACCAGTCTAAGATGTTGAACTTTCTGTATCTGTGTCCTGTCAGGTGATCACGTGCGTCAGGACAGTATGGACTTTAGTAAGGAATGGGAGGATAGTGCTAATTGTCGCTGTGGAGACCGACTGAAGCCACTGGAGCGCAGAGCCGCTAGACAACATCAGCGCTGCTTGGCACACTCATTGGTGGGCACTCCCAATTACATCGCACCTGAGGTTCTGCTGCGCACAGGTATGTCAGTGTGTGTGTAGTGACACCTGCTCGTGAACAGTAATAAACTTTATTTATCAAGCACTTTTCATGCAGTTACAAAGATTGCTTGACAAAGAAATACATGTTTCAAATAAGAAATAGTTCACACATAAATAAATAAATAAATATACTCACCCACGTCATTCCAAACCTGTATGACTTTCTGTCTTCAGAAGGAGATGTTCACGAATGAGTCATCATTCATGTTCATTTGCCATATATTGAAACAAATCAAATAATTAAATGAGCATTTCAGCATTTCAGGGCTGTTCATTTCTAGTCAGAAAACAAAAGACAATATCAAACAACAAAACGATTTCTGACATGAGCACTATGGGCTCTGAACAAATTACACCCATCAGTTTAATACACTTGAGCAGTTATTATGGATATTATGGAGTTATTATGGATATGGATTTAGGACAAGATGTCCTTTTATTAGCCTATTGCTTGGACAAAATGCTGCACAGTTCTTTGTGAAATAGAAATATGTCAAATAACAAAACTAAATTGGAATTTAACCCCAAATCAGATAAATAAATAACACAAATCAAAGAAATCTTTTCATATAAACAAACTAAGGCTTTGCCTGTGCTCTTTCCATTTAAAATTGGAGGCAACCGCTGCATTTTAATTACGATCCAAACAAAGATGCTGCATACATGGAGCATGAGCAGTTTTTAATCTAAATTAGACACTATAATTTTGAAATTTGATGCAAAAACAGAATGGTATGACTTTAGTTTTATGAAACATTATTTGCATAAGGCATTGTATCAGTGCTTATTTGATTAGATATATTTAATATGGTGAAGATGTGATGGAGTATGTGTAGCTAAACAGTGCTGATTCATGTTTGGATTACTAGAGTAGATGTTTCAAGAAAAAGCTTAAAGGGGTCATATGACGTTGCTAAAAAAGAACATTATTTTGTGTATTTGGTGTAATGCAATGTGTTTATGCGGTTTAAGGTTAAAAAAACACATTATTTTCCACATACTGTACATTATTGTTTCTCCTCTATGCCCCGCCTTTCTGAAACGTGTCGATTTTTACAGAGAAATGACAAACAACAAGCGCTACTCTACACTGCTCAAAACTCGCGTTTGAATCATCAGTGGCAAATTCTTTAAATATGAAAACGTACTTACAGTCTTTGAGTCAGAACAGCCGGCATTGTAGGCTACTCTCCCAGGATCAGGAAACAGTCCTCCATAAAATGCTGCACACATCTGAATATTTGGGTTGAACTGTTCTGGAACAGTGTTGAATGAAGAATGAAGGCGTAGTTATTATGGATGTAACGATTCACTCAGATAATGAGATTTAGGACAAGATGCTGCACAGTTCTTTGTGAAATAGAAATATGTCAAATAACAAAACTAAATTGGAATTTAACCCCAAATCAGATAAATAAATAACAAAAATCACTAGTTTTTAACCGCACACTCAAATGCTCACGAAGAAGAGCGCTTGTGCGTTCGGCTGAGTAATGTAAGTGGTTAAATGTACTTGCACATTGGCTTTTATGCTTTTATGATGCGAGATTGATGTAAACACAGCACACTGTGAACATCCTTGTAATTCGCTTCAACCTTCAGAACTTTATTTTAGGTTCAAATGGTGCGTGTGTAAGGAACTGGAAGCAAGCAGAATACAGCTATTTCTAAAGCACGCAGTGCCATCTGCTGTTAAAAACTAAGCTCAGAATCGATTCAAGAGAGAATAGTGATGCCTTCGGAAAACCTCAGAATCGATGCAGAATCATTTCTCGATTCGCGATGCATCGATTTATTGTCCCAGCCCTAGTAATCGGATTACAGTAACTGATTTAATTGCACACATACGGTGCGATACAGATCGTCTCTTTGATTTATAATAATGGCGCACATACTATTGTTATGAAGTTTTGAACTAGTTTCCGAGTCACGTTGCTCGTTTGCAGTTTAAACTGTGTTGTAAGGTACAACAGAACTGTTTGCTGCTGTAATCTTGAGATTTTACGACCCTTTAAATTGATGGAAGTGATATGATCATTTTATCTATTTATTTTAATTTTTTTTATCCTAGGTTACACCCAGCTCTGTGATTGGTGGAGTGTGGGTGTTATCCTCTATGAGATGGTAGTCGGTCAGCCTCCTTTTCTGGCAACAACTCCTCTTGAGACCCAGATGAAGGTGAGAATACATGTTGGTCCTTAGAGGTGGATGTGTTTGGTCTCATCATGTTGTAACACATATATGCAGCATTAACTAATTAATATTGTTAATATTG